TCTCTGAGCTTGGTGCTTTTCTTGCAGACATTTCATCACCAAACTAAGTAACATCATCAGTGCTAGAAGGAGAAGGGAGTTGCTCTCTTTTTATATACAAGTGGCCTGCCTTGACAGGGAGCACATAAACAGGAAGCAAACCCATCTCCCTTCTGGCACTGATGATGTTACCTAATTTGGTCATGAAACGTCTGCAACAAAACAACAAAGCTCAGAGAGCCTCAAGGACCCCCACGGATATATTCCTCCTCTTTCCCCACGAAACCTGCCCCCTTGTTCCCCCAGTGCCGTTGTAACTTCGAACAACAGTCACTAAAACAAATGGTTGTTAAGACGAGGACTATCTGGGGAGCAGCCAACCCAAAGCTTAAGGAAAGACCATTTAAATAGGGGCCTCTGCCCGAAGGTCTTGGGGGTCACTTCCCCCACTTCCAAGTGTTTGCACCTCCACACAGGAGTGGTTTTCTGGAATAGCTCTGTTCTCTAGCGTCACAAGAGAAAGAAGGGGGGGAAAAATGTTTCGCTTCAAGTTAATATAAATGTTCAGGTTCTTGCAGAGCTGATCCTGACAGCCACCGAGTTGCGGCTCAAAGTAGCAGCGTTCATTTGTTTGGCACGGGGAAAAAAGGGGGGAAAAGACAGGGGTATCCAAAGTGGAATTGATGCTACTTCTCTCCGTAACGCTCAGCTTTCTACAGGTTTGGGTGGCTTTAAAAAGGAAAAAAAAATGTCTTCATCTGGACCTGGATCACAGCTACAAATCACGATTTTTTATTTTTATTTTTTTCCCTTTTGAATGGCCCTTAGAATCAAAGGGCAAAAAGACACGAATCTTGCAGAGGAAAAGCCTTGCAAGGAAAAGTGTAAAAATGTTCTAATGAGAACTAATGAGACGAGGAAAGCTGCAGAGCAGAGTTTGGTTGGGGGCGGGGTTTAAATAAAGATGCAGCATCTGTGGAAAAAAAAAAAGATACACCTGAACTGATAAAGGAGATTCAGAAACGGAGAGGCTGGACTTTTTTAGACAGGTGGCAAACGAATCCTCTTGTATTTGGGGCGTGGGCATGAGAGCAACGTAGGGTAACAGCAACGGAACAACAGAGTTGGAAGGGACCTCGAAGGTCTTCTAGTCCAGCCACTTGCTCAGGCACGAAACCCTAAGGTACACAGTTTAGTCCTTGAGTTACGATCGTAGTGAATGTCACAGTCATAACTCCTGAGAGCTGTAAGGCAGGTCGGTTATTTGACCGAACTGATTTTATTAGTGTTGTGGTTCGCCGGCAGTAGGAGCGGACGGCTGAGGTGTCGGAGAGCGAGGACTCATGTGATGTAGGGATGGGGCCAGGACCATCAGGGAGTGGAGTGCTGCCTTTCAGAAATTGTGGAGGCTGGCAGTAGTGAGGAAGAGATCCCTGAGGAGCCTGTGTGCATGCACATACGGCTGCTTGAAGGAAAGAGCAGCTGCAGCAGCACGGGCGACTCGGGAGTAAGGCTGCAAGGTAATGGCGCCTCCCTTAAGAGATAAAAGCCAGCTGAGAAACCGGAGTTCTTTGCAGGAAGCAAAGAAGTTTTTGCACTCAAGCCTTGTGGACGTTCGGACTATTTTAGTTTGTGTTTGTGTTTGAAATACAGTACTTCTTGGCAACTTTATCTTGTGTTCTTGGCAGCCTTGCACAACCTCGGCAAGGCTCCTTCTTATCCGAGACAATTAGTTTGAAACATCCTTTTAACCGGGAAGGAACGGAAATCATAAAGAATCATTAAAAGGTTTTGCTGTTACCTCTGTTTTGTGTTTGTTTCCTTGGAACAAGGTTTGGGTCGGAACATTTATTCTTATTTCTTTGTGTGGTAGTTGTTAAGCGAACATCATAGTCTTTAGGCAAATCAATGGTTTGCTTCCAGCGTGGTTTTGTCTAAAACCGTAAGTAAAACCTTCAACAAAACCTTCATAAAAATGTGGTCATATGACCATGGGACACGGCCAGAGGTGTTATTCAGCAGGTTCTGACCAGTTCTGGAGAACCGTTAGCAGAAATTTTGAGTAGTTCGGAGAATCGACAAATATCACCTCTGACTGGAGATTTTACAGTATCCTTCCCCTGCCACGCCCACCAAGCCATGCCCATAGAACCGGTAGTAAAAAAAAATTGAATCTTGGACATGGACATGGCAAAATACCATAAATGCAGTCTGGCCGCCCAGTGCCTACAGCAGGGGTCTTCAAACTTGACAGCTTTAAGACTTGTGGACTTCAACTCCCAGAATTCCTCCTCCAGTCATGTTAGCTCAGGAATTCTGGGAGTTGAAGTCCACAAGTCTTCAACTTGCCACGTTTGAAGGTCCTTGGCCTATATAGTGTGGTCATGTGACTCGGGAGGGTGTAACTGTCAGAAATTCAAATCTGGGTCATAAGTGCACCTCGGGTGGGTTTGTGGTAAGTCAAGGACTACCTGTATTGGGCTGAATTTCCCCAGAAATCCTTCACAGGTGAGGATGTACCAGTATCTCCCTACTCCTATCCAGGGGTTTCACTGCTCCCCCACGCTAGCTCTGGGGCTGAGGTGGGGACTGGGCCGGTCACCAAGGAATCTTCCATGGCTGAGAGGAAGAATGATGAGATCCAGGAAATAGACATAACCCCAATACCGCTAAACATACATCTCCATTTCCAAAGGCATTTTTTTTTTCTTTTCAAAGTAATTATCCGTTTACTATTACTGTGGTGGAATGTAGTCTGGATTCCCAGGAGGGAGGGGCCGGATTGACGAGGAGCAAGACAACAACTCAGTTCAGATAGTTTGTGTGGGAGAAAGAGGGTGAAGACTCCTCCTTCTGAATCTATGCTTTATGGAGATGGTAGCCTACTTTAATTTGGCAAGACTCTGCCCGTAGATGAAGAATAATGTTTAAAAATAATGCTTGGAAGAATCACGGCGCCTCTTTCTTGGGTTTGGTGCCCAACAGTCCTTTGGTTTACAGTCCAGTACTAGTGTCACACTCATTTCAAGAGCAGTCAGGATATTTGGCTTACACAAATGCTAATTTTCCTGAAGATTATATATGATTCATGGATCCGTTCTTTTCATATCAGGTGATAGTTCCTCTTATCACAGCAAGGTTTTCTCCCTAGCAATTCCCAGGATCTCTTTTTAATAATGCAAGTAGTTTGCTTTAGTTTGGCAAGATTTCTGGCCCTAGGTGAGTAACAATTGTTGCTCAGAAACAGTTCTACCTGATTTCTTGGCTCTCGGGGCCCGACAATTACCTTGTTTCCGATCGCTTTTTTGGGTGGGAAGTTAAAGCTTCGTACTTGGTGATATCTCATCTGCAACTTGTGGTGAAGCCCTCTGAATTCTGTGTATCTTCGATAAACATTCCACTCGTCGTCTTTTATCCTGATATATAGCTGTCAGAAACAGAGAGACGGGATCAATCGGTTTTATCCAAAACCAGGGTACTAAATCTAGATCGTAAATGGAAAAGGATACCAATCCGGCAAGATTTCCCCCAGAACAACTACCAAAATACTTTCTTTGTATATCGTGCCTTTTATTATTTTTACAAACAACCCAAGGTGGTAAACTTAACCAACTCACGACCACATTTGAGTCACAGTCCTTTGCTAAGCAAGACAATTGTTAGTTTTGTCCCATTTTACATCCTTCCTTCCTACAGTTGTTAAGTGAAGCATTGCATTTGTTAAGTTAGTCACACAGTTGTGAAGTGAATCTGGCTTTGTCATTGACTTGGTATTCTGACCCAGGCTTTGTAAACCGTAGTTATTCACAAACTTGTTTTCAAAACAAAACCTATTTTATTGCAACGCTGGGAATTGTTTTCATTCTCAGCCAGAATTAATCTCAAACAGTCCCCCGAGATAAGCACCCACCTTTCAAACACTTCCCCGAGATAAGCACCCACCTGTCTGTTCTGTGAAGTGCTGCCAAAAACAGAAGTATGAAATGAACTAGAAAAGAAACCAACCGAAGTACAAGAAAAACCAACCAAAGAACATAGAGCTTCAAGGATGACTCGGAATTGATCGAACTACTTTGCTTCCTGCAAGGGTTTTGTTACCTTGGCCTGACTTTTATCCCTTATGGAAGGGGCAATTACCTCCCAGCTTTACTCCTGAGTTGCCCCTTTTGTCTCAGCTGCTCTTGCCTTCTAGCAGCTCTGCACACACGCGCACTGGGAACAGGCTCCCTTTGTTCCTCTGCCTCACTGCTGCCAGACTCCGAAGGCTCCGGAGGCATCACCCCACTCCCAGATGGTCTTGGCCCCATCTCTGCATCGGATGCAGGACCCTCGTCCGAGTCCTCTCCAGACTCCCGGACTGGTCCCCGTTCTTCCCCACTGTCCGATTCCGCTGCTGTTTGCACCAGCTGCCATCGAACCACAACAGTGATCCCCTTTTGCAACCTTCTGACAAGCCAAGTCCATGGGGAAGCTAGATTCACTTAACAACCGTGTTACTGATGGAACAACTACAGGGATTCCCTTAACAACAGTGGCAAGAAAGGTGGTAAAATGGGAGAAACTGGCTTAACAATTGTCTCCCTTAGCAATGGAACATTTGGGTTCAATTATGGTTGTAAGTCAAGGATTATCTGGAAGACAAGTGCAATTAGGTTTACCATCAGTGAATTCAATTTAACTGCACACTTAACGTAAAAGCCACAGTAAGATATTTAGTGTACGAATTGAAGAAGATATGTGACATACGCAATCTCTTGTCCTATTTGGGAATAAGGCCAGTGAAGGATCTATGCAGGATACATTCATTCTTGATACTATCATTGAAAGGTATATTTCAGCAACAACGGATTCAATTATCCCCATGCTCTCAATTCTGAAAGAATCTTCTTGAAATCAATGCAAGATTTTAAAACCGTGATTTTGGGAACAAGTTACTGTGCCATTGTCTGATTCAAAGAGATTAAGTGACTCCTAAGAGATAAGTTCACACAGTATGCAAAATCAAACTATCAAGCAACATGTTACGGCTTACCACCAGATGTTGGTTGAAACAAAACCAAAAAAAAAAGGGGGGGGCAGAGAAGAGAAACTAAGATGATTATAAAGGCCTGGAGATTAAAACATATGAAGAACAGTTGGGTTTGGCTAGTCTAGAGTAAAAACAGGACTAAAAGGGACATGATAGCAATAGCAGACTTATATATTGCTTCATAGTGCTTTACAGCCTTCTCTGAGCCGTTCACAGAGTCAGCCTCTTGCCCCCAACAATCTGGCTCCTCATTTTACCGACCTGGGAAGGAAGATTGAGTCAACCTTGAGCCTGGTGAGATTCAAACTGCCAAATCGCAGGCAGTCGGCAGTCAGCAGAAGTAGCCTGCAGTACTGCACTCGTTAACCACTGCGTCACTATGGCTCATGATAGCAGTATTCCAGTTTTTTGAGAGGCTGCCACAAAGAGGAAGGGGTCAACTTATTTTCCAAAGCACCAGACAGCAAGACAAGAATGATGGAAACTAATCAAGGAGAGAAGCAACCTGGAATTAAGGAGAAACTTCCTAACGGGGAGGACAATTAACTAGTGGAACAGCCTGCCACCAGAAGTTGTGGGTGGAGGTTTTTAAGAAGAGACCAGACAGTCCCTTGTCTGAAATGGTATAGGGTCTCCTGCTTGAGCAGGGGGCTGGACTAGATGACCTCCAAGGTCCCTTCCAGCTCTATTCTGATTGATTGATTGAAATACTGATAATCATGAAACCACTGATTCCAAGCAGGATAAATATTAGAAGCACACCCTAAATTAGCAGTTGATGATGGAAGAAATATGTGCTTTAATTTACCTCAAATTATTAGTGATTTGGATTTTGTTTTTTTCTACAAGGACTCTTGAGATTCAGGAAATCATTATTTTATGGTAAGTATAAGCGCTCCCAGATTTCTCTTCACTTGACAGCTTAAATTCCCCGATGGCTAAATGCAACTGTCAGAAAGGTCTGCGCTATTAATTTTGAGCCTGAACAAAACACTTAAGATCTCTGCCACAACTCGGCCGGTTTACAGACGCGATTCTCTTCGGGGGGTGGGGGGAGGAAACGAGGAAGGATGGAACATAACATGGTTGTGGGCAACACGGTGGAGCTGAAAGGTTAAAAGGCCCTATGTTGTTGCATGTGTAGCCCCATCCATGTGCATGGTTGTAAGTTTCGGCATCTCTTTTAAGCAGCACCCTGTTGCCCAAAGCTACTCCAAATTATTATGGATGAACATCATTTTCTCGGAAAGATTCCTGCACTCTTGCGCCGTGGTTTTCAATCTTTCATGTCTGAAGGCTTATAAATCATTTTCTCAACCACCTGGATCCCACGAGGATGGAAATAAAAAAAGCCAGCTTTGTCCCAGAAGAACATAGATATGTGGAGAGGCAGCCTTTAGGTATCATATGTACCAAGCGTGGTAAGTTTTAAGGTCTTAATAAATGGGAGTATTTCAACTGCCAGGACTGTTGTGATTGTAATGTAACAAGTGCTAGCTGTAAAGTTGTCGATATCTATACTTTTGCCCAAATGGGATCCGAACTGGAAAAATAGATTAAAATACTTTTATTTATGCATAAACAATTAGAATTAGAATTCTTTTTTATTGGCCAAGTGTGATTGGACACACAAGGAATTTGTTTTGGTGCAAATGCTCTCAGTGTACATAAAAGAAAAGATACATTCATCAAGAGTCAAGAATCATAAGGTACAACACTTAATGATAGTCATAGGGTACAATAAGCATCAAATCATACTAGGAGAAGTCTCTACGGATAAGAGGCGAGGGGACCATTAAAAAGGTAAGGAATTGCTTTACAGGAAATTATTGACTTATTACCATTCGTTTAAAGACTGTTCGAACTTATAATGGCACTGAAAAATGTGACTTACGACCATTTTTCTTTCTTTCTTTCTTTCTTTCTTTCTTTCTTTCTTTCTTTCTTTGTATATGTGTTATTTTCAGTTTTTCCTTTAACAACCAGCATTTTTTGTGGACAGTGCAATGACTGGGTTAACATATTTTACACACAGCGCTCACAGTTCTACCCATCCAGTCAAATGATCAACTATCACCAACAAATATTTCAAAGTTGCCACTGTTGGCATTTCAGTATAATCTACCTGTATTCTCTGGAATGGCCAAATCTCTTCCTCCCACCAGTTGTTCATGCATTATTTTCTTATTTATTCTTACACAATGTATACATTTCCTACCTACTTGCATAGCTATTGTATACATACCTCTACAAATACATTTCCTTTTAACAAAGTCTACAATTGCTTGTGTTCCCCAATGTGTACCCTCATGCACTTTTTCTATTATATTTCTCATAATAGGTTTATTTACTATTTGTAATCCCTGTTCCATTATCCATTTTCCACCTGTATTTTCTACAAGTAATATTGCAATATTACTGGAATATTATATAACCATAAAAACAAGATTGTTTTGTGCTCTGTAAAAATGTCAAACTTTTGGCTTGAACATGAAATGTCATATATTTGGCATAATACAATTACATACAAACATGACTTACGGCCATTTTTCACACTTACAACCGCTGCCGCATCCCCACGGTCATATGATTTACATGGGATGCTTGGCAACCGACTCCTATTTATGACGGTTGCAGAGTCCCTGGGGGTCACACGATCCCCTTCTGACAAGCAAAGTCAATGGGGAAAAGCCAGATTTATTTAACGACCGCGTGACTTCTCAACTTGTAGTGATTCACTTAATAACTGGACAGCAAGGATGGTGGCAAAATGGAGCAAAACTCACTGTTTTCCAAGGCACCCAAAGGCCAGACAAGGAATAATGGATTGAAACTTATCAAGGAGAGATTCAACTTAGAAATAAGGAGGAATTTTCTGACAGTGAGAGCAATCAACCCATGGAACAGAAGTTGCCCTCGGAAGTTGTAGGAGCTTCATCACTGGAGGCTTTCAAGAAGAGACTGGTGTAGGATCTCCTGCTTGGGCTGGGGGTTGGGCTACATGACCTACAAGGTCCCTTCCAACTCTGTTAATCTATCGTGTTTCAGCTTGCAAACTTAACCACCTGGAACTTTCTAAGGGCCAGGTTTCTTCATTATTAATACTCTCCTTCTGTTTTTACAGCTATCTTATCCCCTTTTTAAAAGTGCAATGTGACCTATTGCTCTGTATATTTTAAAAAAACTGCTAAAGTAATTGTTTTAGCTAAACGATTAGCTAAGTGGTGGTCAGACAGTTAGATATATTTTTTCTTTTTCTTTTTAGTGTCTGGTGTTTAGTGCTGTGTCTCCTCAGGTCTTAGAAGCCTAATATTTATTTTAAATTACTTTCTGTGGCAGGGAGGGCATTTCCTTCCTTGTTTTACTAAAACATCATCTATTTCACGTTTCAACAAGCT